TACCCTCCTCCAGCAAGGCAAACACAATCTGCATGTACCAAGACTGGCGTCCAATTTGAGTCGTGTGTGTGTATGTGACACTGACTGTACTCAAACACTATAAGCACAAGAATCCTCATGCGAAGGACACTATTAACTGTTCTTCTCCTAGTAGAGATACAGTACATTATTCATTACTTTTTTTTCTTGAGAAAATCAAAGAGTAAAATGTCTCTCTATCACAAGAATAAAGGAAAGTTAATAAATAAATACACATAGTTCATGTGAGTACCAAACAGCATAAGCATTGAGTACCAAATCAAAATGAATTGTATTATCATAAAATGTAATATTACCTTGAAAAAACATATATAAATAATAAACCAATATTTTAAAAATAAATATTAAAGGAGTAGTTCACTTTAAAAACAACTTTTGCTGATAATTTACTCACCTCCATGTCATCCAAGATGTCCATGTCTTTCTTTCTTCAGTCGAAAAGAAATTAAGGTTTTTGATGAAAACATTCCAGGATTTTCTCCATATAATGGACTTCAATGGGAACCAAACGGTTCAAGGTCCAAAAGACAGTTTCAGTACAAACTGCAAACTGTTCAAAGGGCTTAAAACAATTTCAGGCGATGAAAAAGGGTCTTATCAAGTGAAACGATTGCTCATTTAAAATAAGTAAATAAATAAATAAATAACGATCGCTCATTTAAAAGAAATCGTTTAAAGCCCTATGAACAGATTGCAGTTTAACTGTCTTTTGGACCTTGAACCGTTTGGTTCCCATTGAAGTCCATTATATGGAGAAAAATCCTGGAATGTTTTCATCAAAAACTTTAATTTCTTTTCAACTGAAGAAAGAATGACAAGTACATCTTGGATGACATGGGGGTGAGTAAATTATCAGCAAAAGTTTTTTTTTACAAGTGAACTACTCCTTTAATTATTAAAAACATCAAAAAATATATTAAATAAATAAACGTAATACATTTTTATTATTACTAATTATTAAGTACAAAAAATTTAATAAAATAAATAAATGAATGTACAAAATAAACAAATAATGAATACACAAATTAATAAATGAATGAATTATGTATTAACCTACTTGTTAACCAAACACATAAATTAATAATATTTTTTGAAGTCTAAATTGTAATAAGAAATAGATTGTGAAGTGATCCAACATGATACCTTCAGTTTCTTGAGCCAAGTAAGCAGCTAAGCAATATCTAACCACAAAATGCCAAGATTGACTAATTAGAATCAAGAAATCCAGACATGCATAATTAACAGTATTACAAAATCAGGATTGACAAAATAAGGCCTTAATCTCAACCTAAATTCATCAACTGTCAGATGGTATGTACGATTGACTGGAACAGTAATGGTTTAAGCCACAGTTTAGTTCACATTATTCAAACTAAATCATTTAAATACTGTGGTACTCCAGCACACTCGCTTACACTGGATTGTGGGTGGTTTGTGAATGAGATGAAGGTTTTTGTCACTTGAAAAAGTGGCGCAACTGTTTTGCGAAGTACCAGGCGACCTTATATGCCCTTTGTGTGTGTGTATCATGTCAGGTTTATCTCGACCCATCATTCTGGCTGACAGTAGCGCCATATGGCCACAGAACCCGTCCCGCTCACACAGCCCTGGCGTGGAGAGAGCGCATCCAGCCAGCCGTCGGGTTAAAGACGGCACACGTGGCGTCTACAGCCTTTGATCCTCTTTCACGCCGATCCCCAACAAACACACACACACCAGCATTAGGAATGCTCAACTAACTCACAATGAACTCCCACGTGAGGAGCAATCTTCTAAAAATACACATTAACACCATCACACAACCGAATGCCTCCACTCCATTGATTTAAAAGATCAGCGATGACTTACAGTGTTAAGAATAACACTTGATTCAGTGATACAACTTTTTTGACAACATTGACAATATTAGGCCTACAGTCCACCACACAACAACATTTTTTGTCCATCCATCTAACTGTCCACCAAAACAGAGTCATTGTAAAGTCAACTCTAAAAGTTTCACTGTCAGGACGTTCCTCTAATACTACGCCGTGTACTTGTCTCTTCCTCATGTCTGTAAAGCTCTGATCAATCCAGCGAGCTCTCTGGGTTTACTCACCCATACACACACACGACTCATTCGCTGACAGCTCCACACTCTCAAGGTACACATGCTTTTGCCTGATCAGCAATACCAGCATCTGACAGCAGATCAATATGAATGGATCTAATAGATTGGCATGCATGTACAGTTTTCCAGCCAGACATAATCACATATTATCAGGCATCTGTATAGACAGGTCTGTATAGTCTGGCACTGGGTTCAGTATCTTTGAGGTGTATGTCCAGTAAACTAACACTGTGTCCAGAGGAGAGTATTGACTGATGGTGAGACAACTGAACACACACGTCAAAGCAGTTTCATGTCATTTGCTCATTCATACACTAATGTTAAAAGTTAAAAATATGGTACAGGTTTTCCTTTTTGAAAGAAATCAATACTGTTTATTTCTCGCAAATAAATGAAGAGTTCAGATGCAAAAGCCTCTAAATGCCATTTGAAATTTTCTTCTTTAATGATGATTTTTATCAAACTTGTATATTTAAGTTCAGTGATTTCACTTAAATGGCAATGATAATTACCTATTAATTGTTATTTAAGTGAAATTACTGAACTTAAATATACAAGTTTGATAAAAATCATCATTAAAGAAAAAAATTTCAAATGGCATTTAGAGGCTTTTGCATCTGAACTCTTTAAATATTGTTCTTTTGAACTTTCTATTCAATGAATACTGAAAAAATTGTTTGTTACAAAGGAATAAATGATTATTGGTAAATGGTAATATTTCACAATGATAATTAATGTGCAGGTGGACACACACATTCATGAATTAATTCCTCACTCACTCATAGACTCCCCCACCTCCCTATTTCCTTCATTAACTCACTAGTTCATCTATTAATTGTTTCCTGCATTTACTTTTTTTGATCATCTCAACCATTTAATCACTTATTTTTCCATTTCTGAAGTTATTTATTACTCGGTTAATGTTTGTTCATTAATTTACACTGATTAATTTACATATTTAGTAAATACACATACATTTATTAGTTCATTCACTTGTCCATTCATCTACTCTCATTCATGTATTCATAGTTTAATTGCAGCAATTATTTGTTAACTAATTTGTCCATTCATTCATTCATTCATTCACTCATTCAATTCTTAGTTTCAGAAAAAGATACAATTTTTGACAGACCAGTTTTAAAAAATTAAAATACACTGATTTGCTATTTACATACCGAAAGTGTTTTTTTTTCTTAGTGGGACAGAGCAATCCAAACATAAAAGCTACAAGAATCCAAAACATATGACATCATTGTGCAAAGATTCATAATTCGGTCACACATTCAATCATATGTTTGTTCATTCATTCATACAGTCATTCATTCATTCATTCACCTCCCAGTGGCTGAAGACTAGTTGTGGGCTGGCCAGACCGCTGGTCCTCTTCCTGATCTCGTCAGCGAATCCGAAGCTCTCGGCAACAGGAAGTACAGCTTTAATGATGAACATGTCCGTCCCTTCCTTCATTTCCTCTTGTAGGACTCGTCCTTCCCGCTTGGACAAAACAGCATACACACGACCTATAACAAACGATGATAACGATGAAACGTTATCTACAATCATTCATAATTAATAATAATTATAATAAAAAAAGCACAGACATTTTTACATAAGGATTTAGACATGACCCGGAAACACACATGCACACAAAATCCATCATCACGAGGCAGTAAAACACACACGCAATCAGTTTGTTCAAATTCATCTGTGGCGGACATCCTTATCCTTTAACTAACACAAACAGCAGCTGATCTACACACACGAGAATACATGGAAGTGACGGGGGGAGAAACTCTGTGCCTGTGTATCTATCAGTTCGGCCCCAGAGACCGTCGACCTGTTAACACTGTAGACGAGCATGAAGCTCTCGCAATAATACTCGATGACAGACATCTATAGAAGGTCATGACCTCTGCACATCTGGGCCATGAACACTCATCTCTATGTTACTATGTTGTATAAAACGGTTTGCTGTGTGTGTGTGTTTACTACTCCTAATGTGTGTGCACTAACTTAAATGCAAAGTAAAAATTTCAAGTATGGGATACCACACTTGGCCTTCGTGTCATGTCACTTTGTCAAACTGTTATTGACGCATTTAAAAGGGGACATATAATGGAAAACAGGATTTTCTTTGCTTTTAAAAACGACTGATGCACTGTAGACATACTCACAACATTCACAACACAAAGCTCCCATAGACCAATGGGACTATTTAGTGAAACTAAGCAGAAAAAAACGTCTCAGTTAGAAATCTATGAGCACATTAGCATATGGCCATCTACAGTGAACCATCAACACCTCAGTATTCATCTTGCTGCGATGGTGAACTTTACCAGTGTGTTGAGGTCATTTATATATAGACATCCTACAGAATCACGGGCATAAACAGCCTGTTTAATTGTAATGACAGTGATTTTGTTTAATGGAGGTCACAGATCAGCTGTATTGATGGTTATTGAGACCATTTCTACTGCTGGATGGCATAATCTTATTAGTGGACAGCACAACTGACCATATATGGGCTGTATAGGATGCACATTCAGAGAAAATCTAATTTTGCGAAGAACCTCGACTCTAAAAATTAACAATTAATTATTGTAAATAAAACATGAAAACTTTAGGAGAGAACTCAATTTTGGTATTTTTTAATTTAAAGTTTAATTCAGTGCATACCTTTATATATTTATAATTACGTTATATTCATATAAATGAATTACTTTATATTCGTATATATACTTTATATATGCAGATACACCCCATAGAGCCTCATTCATGAAACAGAAGCAAAACTAATTTTCATGTAAATCGTTCGCAAAGCTGTTCTGACATTTTCGAAGAAGTGAAAATTCATGAAAGTGAACGTATTTTCGAAATATTAGTTGGTATGAAAAAAAAATTAAACCTGCTCTGAACCATCTGTAAAAGTTTTTTTTTTTTTTGTGTTCTTTTATGCAAACATAAGACTGCACCTTCGTAACACTAAAATAATATTTCACAAATTTGCTTGAGGAAGCGGCTTCAAGCTCTGATATACCACCAGGCCCAGAGACTACTAGAGCTAATATATTATTACCCATCATTTTAATTTTCAAATTTTAATGATAATAAGACTTTAAGTAGCTTTTGTTTTCATTCACATTTTCAAGTTTTAATCATGAACTTAAAGGATGAGTATATAGGCTAAATTATATATATATATATATATATATATATATATATATATATATATATATATATATTATAACATATATACATATGTTGACCCCTTTACAAGCTCAAATGTGTATGTGTAAGACGTTTATCACATCTAGAAACATCTGTAATACATACACCTGGATATCAACAGTGTGACTAGTTATCTGGATATGGAAAACATCCTGCAAGTGCTCCCAAATACTTTTGTTCTCATCGCAGTTATGGAAACGAAATGTCTGCGCTTCATTTACAGATTTCAAACCCTTTTCATGGACAAACAAAACGGTCAGGAAGGAAATTTGCACCATTTGTTAAAATATTTACGTATTTTCTCCCCTTTGGCCCAGGCCAACTGATTTTCTCAGAGGTTTTGGTTCTCATGGGGCAGGATTCCCTTACTTCTTCAACTGGGTTCATTTCACACAGGCATGTTGGTCAGACAATTTAGCTTTTGTTCTGGAACCTGGTGCTATGATGACATCACACCGGTACATGGCTGTTTCACATCAGCTTTCAATCAAGGACCTGGGAGAACTATTTCCTCTCTGCACGGTATATGGCCCCTTTTCTCCATGTCAAGAGACTGTGGATCTATTTAAGATACAGGTTGATTGGCATGTGCTTTACTGTTTAAAAATGTTTAAAGCAACGGTTCAGCCAAAAATGAAAATTCTGTCATCCTTTTCTCACCTTCTTGTAGTTTTAAACCGGTATGACTGACTTTCTTGTATTGAACACAAAAAGAGTATTTTTGAAAAAAATATTTGCCACAGTCTTAAGTTTAATAAAAGTGAATGACGACTGGGACTGTCAAACTTCAAAAAAGATACAAAAGCAACATAAATATCTCATGACCCATATGTTGCATATCATATGATTGTTTCATGTGGGGAATAGACTGTCATGTAGGTCATTATTCACTGATCTGGGTTTCCACCAGTTTTGAACAACACAAAGTTGAGAAAATAATGACTAATTTCCATTTTTTTTGGGTGAATTATCCCTTTACGTGGCCCTTTTCAGTTTTACCATTTATCTTATGCAGTGTTGCTTCTCAACAACAACTATCTTGTTTGAGGGATTTTTGAACATTTTAACTGGAAACGGTGTTATTATTGCTGACTAACACTAAGAAAAAACTAACATTATTATTACAGCTATTAAAATTTGTTTTCAAAAACTGAAATAAAGAACCAAAATTTTACACTCCTGTTTGTCATTGTGCACGAAACTTCACGCCAATAAATCATCAGAAATATTGCTGATCAGTGCGCGTCTCAAGCGCACTCTTTACGTTTGTCCTATTGCATGTTAGTTGTCCATGGATTTGCCTTTATTTGGCGAAAATGGAAAGGTCTTTAGACATGGAAAATCGATTTTTACAATCAAAATAATGAACACTTAAGTCTCAAAAATCGATCTTCACTCTGTACCATTGGTGAAAAGTGAAACCGTCAAAGTCCTAATATGGCGCTGACATCTTGCATTGATTTGGGACCTGATTCTGCGCAGTAGTGAGCGTGAAGTCGAGCTGTGATATCAAGGTCCTGCCCACACTTCCACAGAAACGGTTAGTACAGTTAACTGCAGAGAAGCTCATTGTGTCGGTATGAAATAAACAGTTATGGAAATGTAGAAATTAAAGCTGAAGCTCCATTCTCCTCCTGAAAATCCCCCAAAAAGTCAGTTGGTGTCTCAGTGACTACTTCGTTTAGAGAAGCTGTCAATCATGATGTCACATTCCCGTTTTTTAGCCTCAGATAACTAAGACCAAACTTATTTTAAAAAACGAACACTTAAACTTACATCAGCGTGATAAAAACTACCTAAAATAACTGAAAACATCTTTGGAAATTTTTTTTTGGAAGTGTAATTAATTGTTTAGTTTCAATCGCGCCCCATTAGACTAAACGGGGAGGGCGGGGTTTATGACCTATACTGGGACCAATCACCTGGGGGCGATCAAGGACTTTTCACTTTTCAGGACTTGTGCACCATGCTTGGTTCGCACTCATGCACACGTAACATACTAGAGACTGAACATGATTCAAGGTCCCAATATACTCAAGGCGAAATTCTTTTTGTTTCTTCACAGAATTAAAAAAATAAATAAAAAAACATTTGAAAAAACCTTTGCAGAGATACACCGACAACGAATGCTTCCCATGCTGCTGAGGGCTACATTGAGATTAGAATATGTAAATATGTGCTGGGTGCTTTCCTCTCAGTAACAAAAACACAACAAAAATGTAATAAACGCTTACCCAGGACCTCAGCAGTGGCCATGATTTCGCAGGTGTACATCGCAGCCATCAGCCGCTGAGGTTTAGCTTGGAAAGCGTATCTGCAGGTCTCTTTCATGGCAGCGATGAGCTGTCCTGAGAACGGCCCATAACAGTCCAGTGAACCACCAGCAGTTTCCGCTCTGCTCCTGCTTCGATTAGTGCTTGTGGATGAGACGTCGGAATATTCACCTATTTGGCTCTGCAGGTGGGACTCCTCTTCTATTGAGTCTTTCTGAGTAAGAGGTGTGGAAATCTTCATGTCCCAGGACTCTACAGAGAAGCAAACCCCCATTAAAGGTTCTTCACACATGGGGCCAGAGAGTGTGGCCAACTGGAAGCCACTAACAATGCTGTTGTCAAAGTCTCTAAATGCGTTGGTCTCGGCCTTTTCAATTTCCTTCTCTCGTCCCAGACACTGCCACACTGAGGGTCTCCGGTACCCCTCGATTCTGTTGAGGAGAATATTTGGCCCACAACGGCGAGGACCAAATGCCCAGATATGCTCCACGGCACCCCTCCATTTGTGGCCTTGCAGGGTGCTCTCCAACTTCACCTTGAAGTCCTGGATGTTCTCCAGAATTTTCTGGTTGATTTCCAGAGTCTTGCCCTCCCAGGCGAACAGGCTGAACTGCTCTATTGTGCGGATGAGCTCCACATTGTCCTCCAGAAGGCGGGTGACTTCCTCAGGAAGAGGGATAGCCCGCACCCTGACCGTGGCCATCTTGTTTGAGGTGGTGAGCGTGACCAGACCGGTGGAATCCACCTGGACCCCTTCGTGATACTTTGTTTGTTCGTCCTTTACCTGGTGAATCACAGCGACTTTCTGCTGCTTCCCCAAGTCCTCGTTCACCATGTCCACTTTGGGAGGCCGGATCACCGTTTCGCGAAATGGAATGATTGGTTCGGAAGCACTGATTTCAATTTTAGCAAACCTAGAGAAACAAGAACAAATATGAATATCAATAATAATAAAACACACTTAAACATGTAGGGTCAAGAAACAAACAAAAAAACAGGTATATTTGCACTGAAAAACAAAAATAAAGAAACAAATATTAGATTTGTGCATTGGGCCTTACTGTGAGAATGCAATCTAAATGGACTTGCAGCAGTCTTGATTAATATTTCAAACTACAATAGTAAAGCTGCAGTCCATAGATTTTCCTCGTCATTGCCATCTCTGTTCGAAATCTGCAATTCACCTTTGGCTAAGCCACGCCCTAGAATGTAGATTGACCAATCACAGCGCAACCAAGAACGAGCCCCCACCCACAGAGGTCCGACACTTTTTCACAGCACTCCATTGACTTTCAACACAGGCGTCTCATATTTTTGGTCTCGGCAGGCTATTACCGTCGTAGTTTTATCCAAAATATGGTTAAACGTCGTGCCTCGGGCATTTGTAACACAGATACGCATTTCCCAGAGAGGTTGGAGGGGGGTGTCCGTTTTTTCCCTTCCCAAAACCGAAGTCAAATCCTGACAAGTGTCGTGTTTGGATTAAACTGTGGATGTCCTCAGTCAGCTAAACCCCTCAAAGATCAACAAGCACATCTTTTTTACTTCTAACTAGGGATGGGCAACGATTAATCGCATCCAAAATAAAAGTTTGTGTTTACATAATATATGTGTGTGTAGTGTATATAATTAATTTGTATATATAAATACACACACATGAATGTATATATTTAAGAAATATTTGCATGTATATACTTTATATATATTTATACATAATTCATATTATATATAAATATAAGTATTTTATATATTAATTACACATTTTTCATAAATATGTACATGCATGTGTGTGTATTTATATATACAAATTAATTATGCACACCACACACACATATATTATGTAAACACAAACTTTTATTTTGGATGTGATTAATCGCGATTAATCGTTGCCCATCCCTACTTTTAACCTTACTGTGAGTGTGAAGTTATACTAGTTTGACCGTTTTAATGTTTTAGGTTATGATTTCGGGTTCTCATACCGGTTGTTGATTCGCTAGCACACGCTGCTAATAAATACAACGTTATACTCGTGTAGTCCGTTTGCTTTGTAATAACGATTATAGAAGTGAATAGAGACCTACCCAGCTTTGCATGAACAGTGTTGCTCCCTGATATTGTTAGTCCCAGCCTCCGTATCGATTAGGATATGCGGTGATTCATTTTTTGACTGTGACCGGTAACGTTATGCTTTTGCCTCTATTTTGGATGCCTTGTTGTTTCTTGCGTTTCACCTGTATGTCTTGAATATAGCCTTCGAACGCATTTTGCAGCCCCTTTTGCCTACTTCTATCGGACACTTTATTTGCTACTTTATAAAAGTTTGATAACATTTCAGCAGGAAGAGCTGTTACAGCATAAGCCATTCAGAGCGCAGATGAAGTTTGACGGATGTAGCAACAGTAACTAAGGGGGGCGGGGCTTAGCCAAAGGTGAATTGCAGTTTTTTGCGGAATTATCAACTTTACGTGGGTTGTGCCTTGGCAATGTTTTGAGAAGAATGTGCAGCTGTCAGTCACTGCGCCGGTGTGGATACTGGCATTCAGAATCACAGATTATTATTTTTGGAAGTATGACCAACACAAGAATGTTCAATGGAAAAAGGCATCTGAACAAGTAAGTAATATCCACTTTCGTTCTGACCAACTAAGGGAAAAAAGCATTCCAGTAAATCGCGCTGATTAACTATAATGATCGCTTATCATATCACATCAAACTGTGCAAATTATACTTTGTTCTCAAATTGTTAATGTTAACAACATCAGCGTTGCGTGACTACATTTAATGACCTTCCGATGTGTATCCTTGTTTTCGCATGGGTCGCATGGTTGCAGTCTCTTTTTTCCTGTAGCCACTCCGAAGTCCGAATGAAGTCTTTTGCATTTTACAGTGGGTGAATCTCTAGTTGTTACTGGTGATTGTAGTTTGAACCTTTCTGGAACCGCCATCAAATTGATAAGTGCAATTATATCAAGTGTAATTTTTGCTCAAATTTATTTTGGATAATTTTTAACCCAAAAAAGTAACGGAATGCAGCTTTTAACAAGAAAACGGCTTAATTTACTTTCGTTCTTTATTGTTGTTTGCTTTCTTATAATAATTACTTGAATCAAATGAATTATATATTTAATATGAGGAAGTGTATATATATATATACATATATATATATATATATATATATATATATTAGGGCTGTGCAAAAATTAATTGCGATTAATCGCATCCAAAATCAAAGTCTGTGTTTACATAATATATTTGTGTGTGCTGTATATAATTATTTTGTATATATAAATACACACACATGCACGTATATATTTAAGAAAATGTGTTATTCATATATAAATTATTTATATTTATACAATATATATTATGTTTTTTTATAAATATATACAGAATTTAAGCGCAAATAATTCTTAA